AAGTGTCTGAATAGCAGCTTGAATACAAAGGGTAAATCTGAAGGAGTTGAGGTGATTAAAAAAAAGCCCAGATAAATTCATTTGTTGACACATCGTCCATTAGATATGCACTACACAAATTAGGCCTTTATATTGAAGTAAAAAAGAAGAAAGTATTTGTTGATAGAAAGGTCATAAGAAATCAACATTAAAAATTTGCAACAAACCATGCAGAACAGAGTAAACTCAAGAAAGGAGGTGGTGTGGCCAGAATACATCAAAACCTTTGAATGTGTACAACCTTAATCCAAAAAGTTAGTTCCATCTGAAACTTGGAAAAGGCACATCAGCTTGCATACACTGTGAAACAAAGCAGTACCCTGCTGTGGCACCAAGACCAAATGGCAAAAGAGGTAAAAAAAAAAAAAAAAAAAAAAAATTGTAAAAGAAATGTTGTCAGATGGTTTTAAGGTTAAAAAGAAAAAAGAAAACAGATGTGCCATAAAACTATTCAAAGAGTCAAAGCAATCACTTTATTATATTTATTTTCCCAACATCCTGCGGCTACTTGTAAACAAAGACAACAATAAGTTGTTCATTGAAGAACAACCTATTTAATCAACAGACAGCAAGAACAATCCTTCTTCTCCATGCTGCTTCGCTCACACAGGCTCAGCGCACTATTAATCCACTTAAACACAATTTATAGGGTCTCAGCATTGACTATCCTCCTGCATAAAATTACATGAAGCCTCCTTATAGTGTTGTCAAAAGACTAAATTAGCCAAACTGGTCCCACTAATTGAGGAAGGAGTAAAGCACACTGTGGGTGCACTGACTCATCAGTGATTATCAATAACTGCAATCTTAACTACAACGACAGAACCACAATAAGCTTGATTTTGAATTTGACACAGGTTTCTTTTTTTTCTGTGGCTGCATGATGCCAACTTTCCCGATGACCTCATCTCAGCGCTGTCCAGACAACATTAAAATTAAAGAATCTTGCCAATAGCTAAGTTCGTAAATGCTGTGGTCTATCTCATTTAAGCTCATTACTGCAAACCCATGGAGCTGGCTTCTCTGTCACTCAAGCACAACTATCTGCTGCACAGGGCCTTGTAAAAGTATTCATACCCCTTGTAATGTTCCACACATCATTGCATTACAACCACCAACTTTGATAAAAGTTATTGGGATTCAGAAGAAGAAATAAAAATAATACAAGGTTAAATTGCACCATAACCTGCCAAATCAACACACTGTAGGCTACCTATTCCAAATAGCACAGGATTGGTTTGGAAGTGTCCACTATGTGTCTCACTAAAGCCCTGTTAGAACACAAAGTCCATTATTCTAATATCAAATGAGTGAGACATTATTTGAGCTTTCAGATCACAAACACTAGATAAATACCTCACCCTCTTTTTCCTTTAGTTTGACATGTAATTTTTGCATTCTAAATAAAACGCATGAAAGGTTCAAATATAAGTGTACCACAAACCAGTTTATTGGACATTCCATAAGCTTTCAGACATACCCAAACAAAATTGAATATCCGGCGAAGCCAAACACTGGTGCCTATAAAGTGGACTGACTAGCTCTGGTCTAAAAGCACACAGAGAACCAATCTGGAGTTACTTGCAGCTTTTTACAGGTTTTCTTCCAGTGTTTCCTTGTAATTAGTTTAATCTGCCTTCCCATTTAAACAATAGCATCGCAACATCGTGATGCTGCCACTGGCTTGATAAAAGACGATGATTAGTGATGTCCACAGAATATTGTACATATTATTCTAGTCTCAACAAACCACAAAAACCTTTTGTGACAAACCACAAGGTTCTCTAACAATGTTTTATAATTCCAGAAGGAGAGTGATGTATGTTATAGTTGTAATCGAAAATATTATTCCACCTGAGTTATTGATCTATGGACTTCCTTAGCTTATTGTTAGTTTGGGTGGACAGTCATCTCAAGCTTTGCAGTAATGCCATACAACTTCTGATTTTGGGTGATCGAGGAAAGGAAGTTGCATTTTCAAAGCTTACAACCTGATCTTTAAATTTCTGCATAACTATATCATTGACATTCCGGCTTTGTTTCTTGGTCTTTATGATGTTTTGTGTTCACTAATATTCTCTGAATAAACTCTGAGGCACAGCGGCTCACAGGGATGGAAACTGTTTACTGACTACTTAATTTTTGATGTAATTTGGCTGTATTATTCTATTTTTTAGATTTAAAAGAAAAGGGCTGATGTCAAGAGAAAGTGTTCATATAAATTACTTTGATGATCTAAAAACTGTTTCTCTAAAAAATATATAACAAAATTACATTGCAGATTTTTACTATAGCGGGCCCAAAATGTAATGAGTTTCAAGGGTTATAAATTAATTTGCAAGACACTAAACTAATTTAAATTGCATAGGATATTAAAAAAAATGGGCAGAGTTTGTTTCACTAACCTTTGAAATTGTTTCAGCAGAGAGACATTTACCAGATAATTTGAAAGTCTGCATAATGTTAAATCTGAACATAAAGTGTACACTGGGGGAGTTTCAAAAACTGTACTGCCACCTGCTGTTCGGCGCTTCAACATCACCATGCTGTCTGTTAAAGAGCCAAAATGAGGAGACCCCAAAAGTTGGATTAATAGATCATTTGGAAATTTAATCCTCATCCAGATTAGCAAGTGAAAGACGATAATTATGTTTACAATAATACAGTTCAGATGAATTTAAGACTTAAGTTAAGTAAGGAAATGTTTAGCGTTATCTTGTCTTAAAAAACAAACAAAAACATCCATTCATCCAGTGCTTATGACTATATAACAAACACCATGCACAGCAATGCAGGCAAACCCACTTCGATCCCAAAACTTCATTGCTGAAAAGGCTTTTTATGTGAGAATCAAGAACTAGATTGTCATAATGCAAATGGGGCACAGATTGAAAATAAAAACCTTTATAGAAAAAAGAAAGGAACTATCCTTGGGGGACACTGTTACAAATATGAAACATCCTTGGGAGTAAAAACACAAAATAAGTATTGAACTACTTTACCTCTTTGAAAAAGAATTATAAACATTTGTGAAGGATATAAACATTCTTGAAAATATATATATATATTTTCATAGAAATTTAGCCTGCGCTGAAGCAGTCTATGAAATGGACTGGGATTGTCTGCAGGAGAGTTTATATCTGTGAGGAGTTGAAACAGAGTGTGACTTCTTCCATGGGGATGCTTTTCTACACATGTGGAAATGTGAGAGGAATGAGTCAGGTCTGTGGTAATATGTCTGGTCATATAAAACCTATAACACATAGTGGTGGAAAGAAACAATCATCAAAAACCAACAATATGCCTTTAATCATGTGCGCATATTACTACATTGGATATGTGTGATTTAAAGGTTTCATCAGGGGCGAAGCTAGATGGGGGACCAGGGGTGGCCATGGCCACCCTTAGCCAATCATTGGCCACCCCTGTGGCCACCCCTGCCATTTATTTTCCTCTAATACAGATGGTGGCAACAGTAATACTCTCAAGTGGAATATTCAAAACATTGAAATTTTTCATATATTAACAATTACTTGACAACAGAAACACTGTGATTAATTACACACATCAATATACTAACATTAAAATTGATAAGTACAGAATTCAAGCAAAAATAGATTATGTGTTATATGAGAGTCATCTGCAAGTCATCTAGGGGTCTTCAGTGAAATCATAGATAAATAACTATTTTAATAAAAACTTATTAAATAATCTATTTATGCAGATATTGGTACTTGTAAATATAAATTTTATGCAGAGTGATTATTGACAAAAGTAGGTAAGTAATGACAATGGAAAAGATGTTCGCCCAATACTCAAACCTGAAAGAATTTTATCCACTATACTTTTTTTTTTTTTTTAAAGGGCACAGAAGGGCATATACTTCTTGCAGAGGATGAGGATAGCCGACCTGCACCCACCCATCCTCACTACCTACTAAAAAAGCACCATAGAAAGTGTTCTGACCAGCTGTCTCGGTGTTTGTTGTGGAGGCTGCAGCACCTCACAATGCAAGAAAGTCAGGAGAGTGGTGAGAACAGCAGAGAGGATCATCGGGGCTCTTCTTCCTCCCCTCCATAAAAGACATTTCATCCCAGCGCTGTGTGTCCCGAGCCCGTAACATCATAAATGACCCCTCACACCCCCACCATGTACTGTTCTCCCTGCTGCCCTCTGGGAAGAGACTTCAAAGCATCCGATGCAGGTCCAGCAGATTCCACAACAGTTTCTTCCCAACTGCCATTAGACTGCTGAATGTTTTGAAAAATTGGTTACTGTATTGTATTTTATTATATTTATTATATTTTATCATTATATAAAAATTAAAATGTTAGAACTGTAAATTTACAGTCATATGTTTAAATTACTGTTTTTATGTATATTTTTTTACTATTTTTCAAGGCTGCACTTTAAAAAAAGCTTAAATATTCCTGAGAGCTGTTCCAAACAAAATTTATTTTGTTTTACACTTGTGTAAACAAATCTGTCTAAGTCTTATTTAGAAAGCACGGATGTTTGAATATATTTGTCTATTTGTTAGCAAAGGCTGTAGGAAAGTATTGTTTGTCTTTATTTACAAAGTAAGGATGTTTTGCTCGTTAATTTTCTTGTTGGAACAGTGTAGATTGATCCTTTTGGTGCCTATCTATTTTCAGCCCCCCCTCAGTGTACATTGGTTATTGCCTGGCCACCCTACGCCTCTGTGTTTTATAAGCGCCACTAGAAAAAAAAAAAAAAACAATTTTTTAATCGCTGCAGTTGTTATTGGATTATTTCTTCCATCGTAAACCTTTTAATTGGTGCATCAGGATGACATGTGTCAGCTGTACAGAGCGATGAGGAAAACAACGCTGGATGTGGAGGCATCGTATGACGCGCAGCGGCCGGTCAGCGCGTCCTCATCCTGGGGGTTGTAGTTCCGGCTCTCCTTACCTACCGTAATTCCAGCTGTTTTGCGAACAACAGCTCCCACAATCCAACAGCGAAGCTTGACGCTGTCGTGCATATGTTTTGCTTTGTTTTTTCCTTTTTTTGTTTTGTTATTGTTTCGGGTAACTGTGGCAGCTGGGTCCAAACAGGATCAAACCCCGCTGAGCTGCATGTGTTCCCCTGGTTTTCAGCAGGACTAGAGACGCTCTGACTCGCACAGAGAAGTTCCGTTCAGCGCATCCAGGGCGATTTAAAGGTAAGAGACTCTTCGCATTGCAACTCGAGATAAAATGTGCGCAGATGTTTTGTTTTTGCTTGACAAACCCTGTTACCTCGAGCAAGTCAGCCAAACGGATCATATTTAGTAATAACACCATAATGACTGATGAAAAAACATGTATTTATATGTTTTTTCCCGAATAAACTTGCATCGAAGTGACTGCCTGTTTCCCTAACATGCCCTCCTTTCTGAAGGGCCTCAAGCCTCCTGTCTATATATGAACAGTCAAAAAGCGGCTGTAAATGTTCTACTTCAACCTTTAATTATCGGATTTATCTGCATCTACGACACGCAGATAAGGTTTTATTGTGTGCATGTATATATATATATATATATATATATATATTTTTTTTTTTTCTAAATGGAAACTGGAAGCATCTTTGTAGGTTTATGAAAATAATGCAAAAATATTTATGTGAAATTCACTTTGTGAAAGGACATTACTCGTTGTTTTTTGTTCCAGGCGTGCTAATTATAGTGCTTTGCAAAGTTTTAACACCTCCTTATTAACTTTTCCTTATTCTGACACAGAGGCGTAGCCAGACATTTTAGTGGCCAGGCAATAACCAATGCACACTAAGTGGAGGCCGGAAGTAGATAAGCACCAAAACCTCATGGTTAATCTACACTGTTCCAATAGGAAAATTAACGAGCAAAACATCCATATTTTCTAAATAAAAACAAACTATATTTTCCCACAGCCTTTTCTAACACATAGATGCATATATTCAAACATCTGTGGTTTCTAAATAAAAGGTATAGTGGATAAACTTCTTTCAGGTTTGAATTTTGGGCGAACATCTTTTCCATTGTTATTGATTAACTACTTTTATCAGTAATCCTTCTGCATAATATTGATATTTACAAGTACTAATATCTAAAAAAAATTATTATTTAATACGTTTTTATTAAAACAGTTATTTATCTATGATTTCACTGAAGACTCCTAACTGACTTGCAGAGACATTTTCTCTTTACCCATAAAAAAAATCTATTTCTGAAGAGCATGCAATATGTACTTATCATCTTTAATGTTAGTATATTGATGTGCATAATTAACCAGTGTTTTTGTTATAAAGTAATTGTTAATATATGAAAACTGTTTTGAATATTACACTTGAGAGTATTACTGCAGCCACCATCTGTATTAGAGGGAAATAAATGGTAGGGGTGGCCACAGGTCATGGCCACCCCTGGCCCCCCATCTAGCTCCACCCCTGTTCTGACAACTGACGTCACAACTAATTTTATTAGAATTCACTCATCAGCACACAGCTCACCATATTGTGATTGGGTGTGATTAAAATTTATTATTTTAATTTAAAGTACTATTTATGATTATGTTAATAAACAAACTATAATAGCACGTCCCTTTGAAGAATTAGTGAAAATTGAACCCATTATTGTAAGACAGTTTAAAACAAAATTATCTACTAATATCAATTAAACTGAATCGTTGAATAAGTTAGTGGTCAAATTGTAAACCCTCTGCAATTTTTCTATCTAAAAAGGTGTTTCCCTAAATTATATGAGAACAGTGAAAGTAAACCAATACTTAATAACATTGTATTTAGAATTTCACCTTCTTGAAATTTCAACTTTATTACAGAAATGATTTGCTAAACACATTTATTGATGAATAGGAAATATTAAGTGGAAAATTGACTGCAACATGTTGAAATTAATAAGAATGTGTCAGACTTCAGAAGGATCCCAGAGATCTATGATTGTTCCAAAACCGTTTTCTACATTTTATTAATCATGGAGCTCCATTAACAGCTCGCTCTGACATTGAAAAAAAAAAAAAAGAAATGGCATTGAAAAATAAAGCAGTCAAAAACATAATAGTTAAAATTTAAGCAGAAAATTCAAACATTTTAACATCATTGAAAATTCAAGCATTGAAAAACCTACTTAAAAGTAAAAGCTTCGGATTACACGCTCGTTTTACGCTGCCGTTTTTTGTTTTTTATGAAAGAAACTTTCCTGCCCTTGCTGCAGAAAAGTGTCCACACATCATGATGCTGCCACCACCATGTTTCACTTTGTTTTTGTTGTTTTTTTGGTTGTTTTATTTCATGCATATTGTTTTGCATTTAGGCCAAATAATCAGTGTAGAATAGGGCTGGGTATTTTCGGCAAAGTCCTGAATCGATTCGATTTTGATTCATACAGTTCTGAATCTATTAATTTCGATTCGATCTGTTTCTACAACAATGAAAGTGGTTCAACTGTGTTTGAAAATACTCATGTATTTAATTTTTTCCTGTCATATTAAACACAAAGTGCAAACTTGTAAATCAGACAGTTTAAACTTGAGATGTGAACAAAACTGTCTCATAAGTGCAAACTTGTTTGTGAAAAGTGAAAAAGTGAAGCCTCAGTCAAGCGAGTAGACGTGGCACAGTGGGAAACAGCAGACATGCATGAGCTGCATTATCTTCAATGCACAAACCATATTTGCAGCGTTGTCTGTAACAACTACAGGGTGTTTGCTGGTCAGCCCCCATTTGTTACTGTCTTCAGTCAACCTATTGGCTATATTTGCAGCTGTCTGGCTTAAAATTATCTTGAGTGCATCTTTCCTGCTCATCTGAATGTGAATGTCACACGCGTCACTATAAAACTAATCGATCTCATTCCCTAGACATAGATTCAAAATCGATTAAATCGATTTTTTTACCCAGTCCTAGTGTAGATCAATGTCTTTCTGGTTCATAATTTGACAGACTCGTGAAGTCTTGTTCAATAACTATTCACAGATTTTCTGACGGGCACTATTTTCATGCAACATTTGAAAAATATTTTTGAAAACCATGTAACATTTCCTTTCCTCTTATCAGTTATTTATTACTTTGTGTTGATCTGTTACACAAAAATCAAATTAAAATAGATCAAAATGTCGGACAATGGGCAAGCTAAAAGTGTATAAATACTTCCAAATGACTATAGCTTATATAATTTCTTGCAGCAATAGTTGTAAATTAATGATGCAGCATATATGAGCAAATACATGTTATTAATCGCTTTTCACTGCTTGCTTTCATATTATAAAGTGAAATAAATCTTATCTTTTTTTTTTTTTTTTTTTTTTAGAATGACTGAAATAGCCGCTGCTAAAAACTTGCTCAAAGCCTGTCCTGTCATAGAGGCTTAGATCTGGTGTCCTTTCCTCAAGTACACACTCAGTCAGGCTATCTTCTTACACTAAATAAATATTCAGAGGCTTCTACTAGCTCATGTTCGGTCACCAGCTGTCACCTTTCCCCCCTTTCACAATCAGCACACCTTATAAAATGTACAGTTTTCAAGCCCAAGCTTCTTATAAATACTCCAAAACTTGTCCGTAAATGTATTTTATATTTCTTATAGGTATCAAATAGCTCGCCACTGTTTTGTGTTGCCATGGACAAGGCTTGGAGGGTGGAGTTTCGAAATGTGGGATGCACCTACTTTCCTCAAAGCAGAGTCGACTGCCACTACACGCTAAGCTCACAGCACAGCTGGGCCAGCAGCGATTGGATTGGGCTCTTCAAGGTATCGCTACCTTGACAACTGACTTAAAGTCAAGAGAATGTGCTTATAAAAAATTCTGGAGAAGTGTGCTACATCTTTTTTTGTTTTTTAATCAGTTCTTGATCTGAATGTTTTTTTTTATGTTCCATCAAATTTAAAGTATATATTGTAAATAAAAGAGCTGCAAAAAAGAGCTGTTTTAATATACGTTAGTCATGGATTTTATTAATAATGTAATTCTAAAGCAAAATCGTACTTATGCTTACAGTTGTGTTACCTTGAGATTCCCATACCATATGGTGTGAATTTTAAAAATAGATGAACCTTGAACTGAATGAACAGCTGCATTTGATTTTTTCCTAAGGGATGACAATGCATGTATGTTTTCTTCAGGTGGGCTGGTCATCAGTCAAGAACTACGAAACCTTTGTTTGGGCTCTGGTCCCAGCTGCTTATCAAGAGGGGATGGAGGTCAACTGCTGCGTGCACTTCCAGGGTACTCATACCCTTGTATTTACCGTTCATAGCTAGAGCTGTTCAGCACATAAAACTTCTGCAGGAGTCACATTTATTTAAAAAGCTCCATATAATGCTTGTTCACATAGAATTTTCCCCATAAAAATAATAATAAAAAACAAATCCAGTGCAGAAAAAAATATCCTGCCCAGCCTTGTCTTGAATACAAAATTTCTCTGTCTTGGCTTGAATTAATTTCTTCACTAAGGTTTAAAGCCTGCTCCCTTGACTGCTGAACACTGCTACTTTATCTTGTATGTTGGGTAAAACTGCTCTTACTCTAAATAAAGTGTGCAGCAGGCAGACATGCAGACTTCAGTGTGTGGTCATTCTAATCCGTTATCAGAAGGAAATCAGTTGAACAAAGTCAAAAGAGAGAATTTATGGCTGCTTACACTCTGTGATGCTGTAAAGGTAAAAAGTTAACTGCTTCTGCAGGATGTTAGCTAATGCACACAGATCATAAGCTTTGGTGCTAATTTATTCTTCAACACTGGTTCCATTTTTATCACATGATGTGAAAAACTGTCACTTTTTCCTGATACGTAAGATGACTCGTGGTGGAAGAGACCAGGAGAATATTTAGGACATACATACTAATTTTAAACAAAGAAAATCAAAACCTGGAATAAGAAGAACAGAAGTTGGAAATAAAATCAAAGTAATATTGTTCACACACACAGAGATTAAACCTATAAAAGTAATTTTAGATTTTTTTTATAAAAATAGCCTAAAGTGTAAGCATTCTTAAACCTGGCTGCTCAAAGATTTTTTTTTGCTTACCATCCATTGGTCGTCTATTCCACAGATGATTATTTAGTTTTCCTAAGTTAGAAAAAGGACTTTGTGTGTGTTACAATAGAACTAGTTTTCTCCAGCTGCTGCATTCATAAATTAATACAACTAAGTTTAGTATGCTGACAGAACTTTTATGTGTATCCAGCTCCAAATTTAAATATTTAGACATTATTCTCAAGTGAAAACATACTTTATCCACATATTTTTGTTTGCATTAATTTATCTAATATTAAGTCTCACTCTTGTGAACCCATAAAAGTGCTCTCCCTGCCTCATGAGGTCCATGCATTGTTGCCCCAATAGTGTATTAATATAAGTTAAAACACATTTTGATACAAGATCTTTCTTTGTTTTGCAAAACCTAAATCAATTAAGTGAGATTTTTTAAGAGTGTAACGAAAGTGCAGGGAATTTATTGAATTACCACAAAACCACAAACCGCAACATTTTCAAATTGCACTGTACTTAATTTTTCTTGAATGCATATTAATTATAAAATTGGGGCAGCGCTAAATTACGGCGTTCTCTCTCTCATAATGTTTTTTATGATGAAACATTGTGTCATTATTTTCAGCCTCCTACTTGCCCAAACCAAGCTCCCAGGAATATGAGTTTGTATATGTGGATGCTAAAGAGGAAGTGTGCTCCCGGAGCTCAAAATTCACTTTCTGTGCACCGAAGCCTCTTGAGGACATTGTGACCCTCGAGGAAGCGTGCCATGGTGAGGATGAAGGCACAGACATGCTGCTGGTAATACCAAGGGCCGAACTCCTGCAGGTGAGTCTGAGCATGAAAACAACAAAAGATAACATTGATGAGATGCTGTTTTAGTGAATGCTTTTAGAGTTGCATAATTAATGAGTGTAGATGAAAGAAATCCTGAGACGCGGGCTGTGTTTTTCCTGCCTCTTTTTAGAGTCGGCTGCAGGAGTGTCTGCGAGAGCGCGCCGAGCTGCTGCGTGAGCAGGAGGTGACAAAAAGGCAAAGGGAGAGAGACAGGGAGGAACACAAGAGAGAGAAGCAGGAATGGGACAGACAGCGCAGAGGGTTGGAGCGTGAGCTTGGCAGGCTTAAGGAGGAGCTGATGCAGAGTCATCAGAAGATTGAGGAGATGGAGATGACGCAGAAGGTGGTGCATTAAGCTTGATCCAACTTTTCTCGGCACTCCTATTGTCTTCATATTTCTGTTTATATTACTTCTTTTGTGTCTTTATTCATTTATTCCAGCCACATTTTAGAGGTCTTCAAAAATAACAAATGCATTTTTTTTTTAGGATGAAAAGGCTTTAGGAGAGTGTTTAGCCAAGGAGAAAGCAGCTTTAATGGATGCCAAGGCAGCAAAAGAATATCTTATTAGAGAGCTCGAAGAGGATATCAAAACACTGACACAAAGAGCTGTGGAAAGAGAAACAGAGTTGGAGAGGTTTGACATATTTGCTGTTTTTACAAGGGTCTCATAAATAGTTTTGATTACTCATAACTAAATGTGTGTTTGCAGAATGAAAGACAGAGCCAAGAGGGCGATGGCCCTGAGAAAGGAGGAGGAGAGTGAAAGAAAAAGTCTCAAGGTTATTTTTTGCCCAAACCAATGGCATCTGAGATGAAACAAAAAAAGTCTCTGTCCATCTCTATTCTTTTTCTGTTTATGATTTCTCCAGTTTAGTTGATTTCTATCTGGGTTTTTTTAGAGCAAGCTGGATCAGACTGAAGCCGAGCTCAGAAGTCTGTCTAAGGAATTTCAGGTTCTCAGGAACTCTCTGGCTCAGAGAGACACCAGCGTCCTGCAGCTCCAGAACACCATCACAACCCTTACCCAAAAACTCACCACTGCTCACAGGAAGGAGGTCAGATATATATATAAAAAAAAACTTCTTGAACATTTGCAAAGTTCCCATGCAGTCTGGAAGAGTTTGCATGTTGATGTCAGTCTCTTCCAAGCTGATTAAATAAAAAATAGAAAATAGATGCTATAGAAACATAATTCCCTACCCCTTCCATCTTTCCTTTCATGCCTTCATTGATCCTCCTGTCAACCTGTTACACTGATTTTTATTTTTTGATTTATCTCCATTCACGTGTAATTCTGTCCCCATTCTTATGTCTGCTAGTTGATTGTTTCATCCATTCCTCCATCTTTTAACTTATCTGTCCATCTACCTATTCATTCATGTACCTGTCCATCAATTCACCTCCTCACAGTCTATGATTTTGCAAATTTCATATCTGAAATATGTGGAAATATCTGCCTTAGCTTCATTTGAACTTTGATAGTCATTTATATTAAAACTGTAACAAGTTTTGTCATTTAAATTTTATCAATCAAGTACTCATCTTTTGTTTTGCTGGAAATTGTGTTTTGAATCTGCATTTTTACCATAGCACTGGCACTTTATTAAATTAAATTAGCATTTAATTCATAAATCATTCCAATATGCCCATGGCATCATATAACTAGCACTGCATCTCAAATCACTTTTTTGTTTTGCCTCATTGGTAACAACCTATGTCTTCTGATTCTTTTGATATTAGACTGAAAGCGAAGCATCATTGAAGGAGATGCGGAGCCTACGGGAGCGATTTCACATGAGTGAACGCACCATTGAGGGTCTAAAGGGCGATTTAAGTACCCTGACAGCCCAAAGGGATCATGTACAAGCTGAACTGCATCAGACCCGAGTGCAGGCCGCCCAGCTCACCCTTCAGCTTGCAGATTCCACAATGGCCTTGAGAGAAGGGAGAGCAAACTGGGCTCAAGACCGACAGAATCTGCAGCGCACTGCGGAGGTAGGTTATTCATTATATAGACTTTGCAATTGAGTCATCGGCTTAAACAAGATCAAAAGACTTCACTTTGTGTAAGTATTTGATCATTTGTGTGTCTCACTTCAACAGCTGGACCAGGAGCGCTGGGAGAAACTCAACACAGAGATGCAGAAGATCCAAGAGAGGCTGCAAGAGGAAAAAATGGAGAGGGTCAAGCTGGAGGTTGAACTAGGCAGAGAAAAAGATTGCAACCGGGTGAGTGAGGAACAGAGAAAACATATAATTTGGCAAGCACCTTGTGACAAAAAGGCAACTCAAACGTGACACAAACAGCAAGGCGCATGCCAAAGAGAATCGCCACAGGAACGTCATAGCCAGTTAACATGTTCATACCCCATTTGTTGCTTTATGAGAGAAATGATTCAGCTGTATCTGATGCTATTTTTATGGCACCTGGCCTGCAGGTTCAGCTGAGTGAAACCCGAAGGGAACTGCAGGAGCTGAAAGCCAGCCAGAGGATTGCACAGAAAGAGAAAGAACAGCTACAAGCAGAGAAACAGGTCAGAACCAGGACAGTCTCTTTTAATAGACATCTGTTTAAATTAAGGGAAATATCGACATTACTATAATTACAATCATTAAAACTGCTTTGCATACTTCCTGTGTCATATAATTTGCTTTTTATAACAAATCCATACTGATGCAACAAAAATGGGTGTATGTGCCTATCCCAGGTGTTAGGGATCTTCTCTTTTGTTGCCTTCTTGTTATTGTGCTATATAAATTGTTTATAGTGCAATATAAAATGCTGGTTTTCAGGTCAGCGACTGTGCCTGTTAATGTGTCTTCACAGTTTTTGTTGGCTAACCAGGCTCACATTTGCCAGCTGCAGACTCATTAAACAATCAGAACTGTATGTTCTGCACCACTTCAGATGCACAAAAATAAAGATTTCAGTATAAAGCATAGCTTTTTACATTAAACTTGGGATTTTTTGCATCTATTGTGCGTCATCTTATGTCACTTTGGTTTGATTACGTCAGATATCATACTGGTTATAAGGCTAATGGCTGATGGAGCCCTTCTTGAGCTTGTGATTTGATCTGTGTAATTTCTGCCACAGGAGCTGATGGAATACATCTGTCAGCTGGAACAGAAGACAGGAACAATGACCAGTGCCAGGTGGAACGCTGCACCAATTGCCTCCACAGGTGAATTGAGGCTGACATCAATCTACTGTATGCCCTGCAGATGTGAACAGTAAAAATGTCATCCGCTATCAAAGAGGAGAAGCACTAAATATCGCTCAGCGTGGCTTCTGTTGCGTGTGATGAGAGAGGTTTTGTGAGCGGAAACGTGACCTCCTTCTATTTACAACTTATCTTCCTGGCAGGGTGTCCTGAGACTGCGTTATCCGACTCTGAGGATGAGAGCCCAGAGGCTTTGCAGATCCTCCATCCGCAGAGATCTCTTGGCCACTACAGCCTCTGCGAGCAGGGCCAGCCTGAATCCCAGCTCCTCTCCACACCTCCGCTCTCCCCGCGGGACATGGACAGGAGCGTGGTGGTCATCAACCAGCCAGCCCCTCTCTCCCTGCCACACCAAGGAAACACTGATACTCTGCCTCACAGCTCTGATTCGGTGAGACGCACTACCAGAGCCGCTCGCTGTCACCATAGTATAATTATATGTGATAGTGAAAATGAGCTATGGCTTCCAACTAATAGCCAGTCACACCAGTTAAACGTGGGCAGTGGGTCGTTTGATATAGACATTATCTCATGGAAGCAATTAGGCTGCTAGTTGGCAAGTTATTCGACTGTAATGGCTGCCGAAGGGATATGACTTAACTGCCTTATCCCTGTGTGTGTGTGTGTTCTTTATTTTGGTATTTAGGAGGAGGAATCTGATCCAGTTCAGCGAGGAAGGGAAAACTCTGAAGAGGAAACTGCACTTCTGTTGGCTGAATACAAGGACACATTTCTAAGGTACCAACTTCCACTGCAAAAAGCCGTAACCAATACATAGAACAAAGTGTAATAAATTAAGAGTTTCTTCTTATCTTTGATTTGGGCCATAGTTTATTTGCCTAGTCCTGCATGACTAAAAAATCATTAAGATATAAAACAACTTTATTGTTAAAAAAAATACATAACAGAAAACTTTGAAAGAATATTATTAGGGCTTAATCGTGATTAATCGATTATTGAAATAATCGTCAGCTAAGTTAGTAATCGTTAGTTATCGTTAACTGGAGTATAGAGACTCTAAAACATGCCTTTAGCTGACAGAGTGACCCACTAAGAGCAGTAATTATATAAAGATTATAAAAAAAAGATATAAACATTTTTAAGATGGCAAAAAAATTGTCAATATGCTCTATCCAGAACTCCTCAAGTGAAAAAAGTTTTTGTTTCATCTGGTTTAATTTCATAAAAAAGTCTTCTTTAAGGAACCTTTGGCTATCCGATTATTAATTGATTAATCAGAAAAGTAATTGACAGATGAATCGATTTGCTAAATAATCATTAGTTGCAGCCCCAGATATTATAATGGATATTTGATATGTTTTTTTAATATTAATAACCAACCTGTCACTATAATCTGGTTTCCTTATGGTCTAATCATTTAAAGTGACCTTAAGCAGTATTTCTATGATTTTTTTTAAGGTCTTTTAAGTCCTGTTTGGACTTCTAACTCAGTTCCGACACGTTTAGTGAGGAACTGTTTTTATGTTCCGTAAATCTGCTGACTGTGACTTATAAATCATTTAGACTTCAATTGCCAATGTATAACGGATAAATAACAGACACATGTGCAGAGGACCAAATGTAAACTCAACCTTCAGTCAGTTTGTTACCATCAGCCTCCGCTGGGCCTTTTTGATCCCAACATCAATCACCATGAGGAATACTAATCTTCTAAGAAAAAAAAAAAGACTATGTAAAATCCAGACTTCTTTGGCGTGTTTCAGATTTTTTCTTTGGGCATTTCCTTAATATTGGAAATTTGAATGATATCAGCAAAAAAATATAAAAAATAAAAAACATATATATATATATATATATATATATATATATATATATATATATATATAATATATATATATATATATATATTAGAAAATAATATATTAGACTGCATCTAAAATCTGTGATATATGCTGTTGATAGAAACACTTCACTTGTGATAATAATAAATTGGTCAGCTGTTCTCATACTGTTACATACTGTAATGTTGACTATTTTTGAGTAATACCACTTGATCCTTTTATTACATGATAATGAGGAGTAATAAAAGTATCTATGAATCGTCTGATATGGTATTAGCTTAATATTGGTAATGTTCAATACTCTGAGCTGCAATATCAGCATGAATATGAATATGAACAATATATTTTAGCTTATAATGGTGTGATCCCATATATTCCATGACTGATTTGATTTGGTGCTGGTTTAGTGACCTACTGCCTACCTAGGTTTATATCTATCTTATATTATTACCAACTTGTTTGTACTGCCTGTAAATAATAACAAGTACAAATACTCTGAGCAAAACTAATAATCTAGACGTAACCTAATAATACATAAAAACATTCAAAATATACAAAAAGCTTTTTTTGTTTTGTTTTGTTTTGTTTTTTGCCTAACAACATAAGCCTTGCAAAACACTGGGATGTAAACAATTGGAGGATTTGCTCTTATCATCTTCAAATACTGATGAAAGTAGAAGTCTGTTAAAGTTAACAGGAAATAATAAGTATGGAGTTTAGACTGGGATATCCCAGACAAACAAGTCTGTGAGGCCCCACGTCACCATTTAGAGAACTGAAAGGATCTGCTGTTTGCTTTCTTGGTACCAGACACCACAATGGATCATCAGGGGGTTAACAGATGTTTGTAGCTTAATGGTTCAACCCTGTTTTGGCAGCAACACTGGCACCAAATGCAGCAACCAGCACACCATTAGACAGCATGTCCTAATGTTATGCCTAACTGGTGCATTTTGTCAGCTTAATAACATAAGAGTATAAGACATTATAAAGTGTTTTGCTCTTTAACAGCCTCTTTGTAAATCTATAGAATTTCAGAAGAATTCTTAAACATATAGCTGAGGGTATTATTTTTCCAGTTTGGATCATCAAAATAAATCATCCTCCTAATTGTCAATCATTCTGGTGATGTGTTCACAAAAGGCTGTCCCCATTTTCACTTAAAATTGCAAATCTTCTTTTGGAAAGTAAGCTTGTATGAGCGAAGTAAACAGCAACTTTTAAACAGAGCATGCACAAGGAGAAATGGGCTTGTGACAATTTCATATAAATCCTGCTTTACGGTACTTCTTGTGTGGGGGGAAAAAAAACCCTGAAGGCAAGGAAATCCTCCTGGCCGGTGATTTAAACCAACTTCAGCAACATCCTGATTTGCTATTTGCCTTCAGAACCACTCAGTAAATCACCCCCTTTATACATGAAGTTTATTTTGAAATGTATTATTTCCAGATCAGTGATTAAATTAATTGCACTGATTGAATGCACAGGATCTCACTAAATGATGTTCGTTAGTTTGCTTCTCTCCCCTCACAAAGCTTGCAAATTCACGCAGGGATATGAGAGGCATTATTTATGGTGACGGGGGAGCCATGGCTGGAAGATGGAAGCTTTGAATATGTGGTCATAAATGAAGTAGAGTCAGGGTGAAGCAGGGGAAACTGTCTGAGACAGAGGTGAGGCGCTGGAGGGGAGGCAGGATAGGAGGACGAGGGGACAGAGAATGTGACAGGAAGCTGTAGCAATGATTTACCTGAGGGGTGTACCTCAGTCACGGGCCAATTTTCAGCATCGTTAAGGCTCTCGTACTCCCTCTCAGCTTCTCCTACGGTCTGGCCTCCATTTTCAACAACAATGTGTTTTTTTTTTGTTTTTTTTTGTTTTTGTTTTTCCTCCTACACAAACACACACTCAGAAACACTATTTCTTTATGTCTTCCTGCAGTGATCTGGGAGACACCTCGCTATGGTGACGGGCGGACCAGCCAAGACAATGGCAAGCATTCAGAAAGCAAGAAGGGACTTTGTTTCCCGTTGCATCAACTAACAAGCACATAAACAGCACATTAAAAAAACAAGAAACAATGTTATATGCAATTACTCTGTATCTGCCACAAACCTTGCCCCCCACCCCGTACACTATTGTGTTATTGCCTCAGCCGTGCCAGCAGCACGAGGTCAGCGTAGTGTTTATGACTCGCAGAAGACCGTTGCTCAGCTGGATGCTGCAGGAATTTTTGGGGCCTGGCATTTGAGACTTTTCAGTCGGGTAGCAGAATGATTCCCGTTGAATCATTGCAGCTTCGAGAGCTTTACGACGGATGTAATGTCATTTTTATGGCGATTGTGATTAGGAGTCACGACGGGCTCTGTAATTATGATGTTTTGTGTAGACTCGACTCTGCGGGAAATCATGGCAAAGCTCTGCTCTGGTGTTAAATCCTCCGTCTCCTCCGGTTTGGACACTTTTCATGGCAGCATAAAGAAACGCCACAGCACCATTGATAAAGAAAAAATATATTGCAATAATGCAGGCTTATGACATCATATTTCTCCCTTTATACAGACCTAAAAGTTGATATGCACTTTTTATAGTACCAAATCACAGATGATTCATGCAGATGCTGTTAGGGTGATGCAGGCCTTCTTATGTTGACAGTGTTTAGAATAAGTAAGCTTATTAACAGCTGCTAAGATTGATTCAACATGCGGTTGTTTACAAAACTTCATGTGCTTTTCGCCTACATTTTTTGTTATTAATTAATCAAAACTTCTTTCCGATCATTAAAGATGCTTTCTTATCATTTGATCACGTTTTTAAAGCTCATTATGCTGTCATCTACTTTTAAATGTGTGCCTAAAATAATAAACGTAGTCAGCATTTACTGTAGGTGTTTCCTTCTACTCTTATACTGCCTAATAAAGAAAACTGCTGCCTCCCTTTTTAATCAATGCTGTATGCATTTTTCATGGTTTCCTCTTTTAAAATGAACTTGAGTTATGCTGCAAGTAAACTACTTCCAGCTTTAGGTGGAAACCGCCCATTTCGTGTAGTCTAGCATAAAAAAAAACTTTTCATGCTTTGCCTAAGAAAATCCGCTACAGTGATGCTTGATTTCTATCTGCTGTATTTGCACCCTGTTTTTACTTTGGAGGATATTTTAGACTTAATATCATTACTTAGAGATTCTGTATGTTCCGTGTGTGTTTTTTTATGATTTCTTTAAATTTAAAGCTGTGTGTTGTGGTCATATTATGCCTAAGTTTTGACATTTTTACTGTCCATTTTCAAACCCTTGCACAGAGCTAGGTGTTGGAGTTTTACTGTTACCATATATTGGTGCTAATCACACACCACCTATGTTTAAGTTACAGTGCTTTACAAAAATATTCATAGCCTTCTAACTCTCTCCAATATTGATCATTATGATACATGCTTATAAAAGGTTTTTACAAATAGAAAACGTAGGAGTTTGGCCTGCATATTTACTCTTATATCCCAAAATACACTAAAGAAGCAACCAGTTCTATTCAGAAATCATCTCGGACGCAATATGGCTATCAAGTGAAGGTCTCAAAGGTTTGTTAAATAGATACTCATGTCACTGAATTACCAAGTCCAAATGTAAATCCAGTAAAGAATCAGTAGCTATTTCTATTCAGTCTGACAAAGTTGGAGCAATTTTGCAAAGAATTAGCAGATGCTTCCTTCTAGATGACTCTTGAAGTCGGTTGCATTGGATTGCATTTGAGGATACATATAGAAAATCGGACTGAATACAAATTCAGTGATTTAATTATTTTTAAGACTATATATATATATTTACATTTTCCTCCTTTTCCCATTCATGCACTACGTAATATGCATTAAAGTCGCCTATTTTAGGGAGAGAAAAAGCTAGAAATGTTTAGTAAGACTTGAATACTTTTGGAAAGTACTGTAATTATAAAAAACATACTAAACACTTTCAATGTATTCAGGACAATTACCATCAGAGAATAAATTGCTGTTAATAAAATTTTTGTCACTCTTCTGTTGAGTAGCATCCAATTAGGATTATAAAAGAGTTTAAACTTTTCAAAGCATTGTGTTTTTCTTTAAACAAAAGCCCACAAAATCTATTTTCCAAAGTCTTTGTTTCGTGGTTGAACTTTTTGTCGTGATGAAGTTTTATCTACATTTATGACCATTGAGAGCACTCTCCAGCACACTGCTCCAGTGGCCTTTTGTGTTTAAGTCTGTGTGTGACGGTTATCCTACATGTAGGCTGCACTGTGTGTTTTTGTTTTTCCCCAGCCTTCCTTCCTTCCTGTCAGGTTTGGGTGGGGCTCAGCATAATAAAACATGTTAATAACTAGGGCGTGTATGACTTTTTTTCCTTCTCCTGGACAAAGATTATCCTGATATTTTGATCCTCACATGACATTTCACTGGTAATTAACTATCCAATTTCTTTGCACACAGTTATATAGCCCTATTCCCCTTTTGGTTAATTGCCTGTTTCGTATACATTTCTCATCCAGAATTTCCTCTCCTTTCATCCTTGGCTCCCCTCAGGGCTGTCCTGGTCATCATCTTCCTCGCAGTGCCTTCCCACTCCTTTGCCAGCTTCCTGTGCTCTGTTTTTAAGGTCTCGCCTTAGCCGCCCCTCCCTCCTACACGTCCTCCATCTTAAGTCTGGGGTGACGATAGCTAATTATAAAATCAATGATGCCGGGCTGCCTAGTTTACAGCCCCCTCTAAAGCCTTAACTGGGAAATCACTGTGGGATTGATGACTCCCTCACTCTTTATCTCTTTTAATTAGAAATGTAAAAGATATGAAGACCCAGAGGCCAGAAAAGATCTCCTAGTTTTAACGACCCTCAACACCTCCATGCCCGGCGTTTGGTACCCTTGCCCAAATTTCCCTCCCTCTTCTTGCCGTTTTTCTTTCTGCCCCTACCCCCACAACTCTCATCCAAGTAACCAGTTTCTCCCTCACTTAATTCTGTACCTTTCTACCTTTCACTTTAAATAAGAGGAGGACGAATGTGTTTAATTTATGGATTTCCCACTTAAAATGTTTGTCAGTCTTTGCTTCGTCTTTCTCCACTTCAACTGATTTTTGTCTTCCTGCGGAATAAATACAATCATAACATAAATAAAGCCCATGTCTAATTTTTGCAGTTTTTACCCAGGAAGTAGGCAAAGAAAATTGTGCCATTTGACATTACTGCCCTGCCCTTAACTTAATGCATCCTGCAAAGCATTATGTATATAGGTAAGACACAGAGCCACCTAGAGGCATAAAGTGTGGGGTACCTCCTGCAAAACTGTGGGCCAAGAGGAATTCAATTCATACAGGACATGTTTACAAAGTCACCAGTTATATAAATATAAATAAAGTCATATTTTAAAGTTATGTAAAGGAATTTAACTGCTGACACTGATTTCCTCCAGGCCTGTTAACACAGAAGCATTTTTTGGTTGAAAACTTTGTTTTACTGTGTTTCTAGTATTCATGTAGGCCACAAAGGCATGTCTTTTCTCTGGACACAGGAGGGATTTTAAGCCTCTGGCACATGAGGATTTCACTGCAGAAAGAAATCACAGTTTTTAATGTTCCCAACGGTGTCATTTGCATTGAGAGTATAATTAAAACATTATGTTGATGTGTTAACAAAAATCCAAACTTACCAGCTAATAAGGAGTTGTTGCATGTGCTCATATGTTTTCTGTGTTTTATAAACCCTTTATAAACCATATCTTTAGCAGTAGATTGAAGGGACTTTAAGCTATTGTTGAACCAAATGGTAAATGGCCTGTTCTTGTACAACACTTTTTCAAGTTAGAGGACGACCATATTACATTAGATTCAATCATTCCCCTCTTCATGCACACAATGATGGTGGAAAGCTACATGGTAGCCACAGGTGCCCTGGGGCTCACTGACAGAAGCGAGGCTGCAGTACGTTGGTGCAACAAGTCCCTCTGACTACCATCAGTAGGCAGGTGAAGTGACTTGCCTAGGACACAATGACACTGAAAGGTGGAGCCAGGACTTGAACCGACAACCCTCCAAATACAGGTTAAACTCCACTGCCGCCCCCAAATTAGATGTATTAAAAATAAATAAATAAACAGATGGACCCTATAATGCATAAAATGACCAACACTCTCCTTGATTAAGCATCTTACAACTATATTTGGAAGCTTTTATTTTAAAACCAGCCCCCATCCTGTCTTTTTTAGGTGGATGTAATTGAACCTACTCTGGCTCAAGATGCCCTAAAAGATTTAAAATCTATTTGTAATATCACTTGTGATCTAAAACAATTGAAAAATGCTTGCACATCAATTGTGAGGAGTGTATTTATATGTAATACTCTAGTTGAAGAGCACTTTTTGTCCCCAGCCCCTGATATGTCCTGCACTAAGCAGTCAAGGTGGTAGCCTAATTGTTGCGTTATCTACATTGTTGTTGTTTTTTTTTCTTTATCAACTCATACCGCTACTGCGAATGGTGTTTCTTTCTTGGATGTTGTTGTGTAATAGAGGTCATGCTGAAATTTTGCATAGATTTCATTAACAGAGAAAGTTCTAGGATGTTTTTTGATTATCAAGCTGCCAGTTTCTTAAAACAGATGGCAATTCACACTGAGATGGGTTAAGCTATCATAAAACATTCTGAAAAAATGGAAAACAAACCGATCAATTTTTTATAATTTAAATTAGATGAGTTATTTTTGTCATTTGTGACACATACGGCTTTCTCTATAATTTATTATGGATTTTCTCTTTACTAAACATGTCTGGTGGTATAGTGAGTTTTATTTTTAAAAACTTAAAAAAAATCACACTGATGAGATCACAAAAATCAAGTATTTTTGTGTTAAAGGATTAAAAACTGAAAATAAACCATAATGTTTGCATCTCTAAATGACTTTTATTTTGCTGGATTCAGGATAAAATGGTTCTTTGGATTTAAAAGACTGCAGAGCCCTGACAAAGATGCATAATAAACTAAACCTGATTACACTATAGTAGTATAACAATTGCACTGGTATGTGTGAATGAAAATATTATATGATTGGATTAATTTGATAATATATTTCTCTATATACATGTGTGCCTCATAAAATGTATTGAGGTGGAATTTGATGGAATAAGAGTTATAGAAATGAACTTAACTAAACTGGTTTAATTGTGATTGCACAATGACTGCATTGTTTACTGATAAAAAAGGTATTTAGTTGTTTGGTGGAACATGCTGACAGATGGCTGCGCATGTCCAGTAAAAGTTCTGGTCTCAACAGGAGCAGAAATAATATAATAATCTCTCTGCTTTACTGATGAAGGACTGTATTGTTTCAAGTAACGGTGTTGTCCAAAGTATTACGGTAAATTACAGCCAGACTGATCTCACACAGAGCACCTTTAAATCTTTCTGTAGAGGGCTGGTCCGTTAAGTCCTGTACTTATTTCTCCTAACTTCCTCATCCTTGCTGGAAATTTATTGCTGTATACATCTTCACTATCACTTCAGCTAAGAACTTTGCTGTCGCTGTTTTTGCCTTAACTTTAAAATATGTACTGGTGCTGCAGTTCAGTATATCAAATGTAAAATCCTGTCGTTTCCAGCTGTATTCTAGGATGCCTTGTGCTTTTGTTTTTAATCTTTAATCTCTTTTTCAACATATAAATATATATATATATA